CTTCCGGAAACAAGTGATTTCGCCGGCGGCCCTGCAGTCTCTACACTCTACCCGCGACCCTCAACTCGACTGAACAGATCCCCAACTTGCATCCCAACACCCTGAATCTCGACAGCGTATACCTTCCGAGACACACTGACATGCATCAGATATGTGAACCTATAACCCCGAGCAGATCAGGCGAGCAGCAAGCGTGCCATCTGGACACCTGCAAGCAACCCTACGCTGAAAACCCTAGCCCTCCCGACCGTAAACCTGACAACTATAACAATAGAATAATATAAGGGCCTTAATAATTAGAATAGGGTTTCGGGGGTATGAATATAGTATATAATGTGCCGCAAAACCCTATTGAAAATATGAAGGCCCCTACATTACCAACTGAAACCCCAATCCAAATCCCTTGCAAGCAGGCCTTCTGGGCCGTAAGCCCACGCAAGGTGACCCCTGCAAGTCTAATGCTACACTTCTCACCCATAAACCTTTCAAAGCAGAGCAACATCCTGACACAGCCGTCCGAAGCTTCTTATGGATGCCCTTATGGTGATCCTTATGGAAACACTTCTAGTAACACTTATGATATTGCTTGACCTGGAACCAATAATTTGAACTGCCATGAAACCTCAATCCCAAACGACTAGCCCTAGACTCGACCCCTGAAAAGACTCCACGATCAAAGCTTTTGTGGGTCCCCACATCCCAACATTCCCAACGCAGGGGAGTGCCTTTCGCAGGCCCTTGAAGGTGCATACCTCAAGGGTTTGGGCTTCAGGCTGTGGTTTGTGGCATTGGCATTTAGGATTTCAGGCTGTGGCTTTCTGGGTCTGGTCAGCTGTAAGGCTAAAGGCTCAGGGGGCTGAGGGAGGGCGACGAAGCTTAAGGTAAAACTTGGTATACTTCGGAGGGCGCAAATCTGCTGGATGAGTATGACGTGTCTGTCAGAGTGTGCAACCGCTTCCTTCCAAAACCCCTGCACACATGTTTTATGTATGAATGCATGTGAATCTTTTGCATGCATGCAAAGACCACATCTGACTAAGACTATGGGTGACTGTGACTTTGGTTTCCAAGGTCGCATGCATCAAAGAACATAATTAGTGTGCATGGTTTCTTTTCAAAAATTTACATGGAAGTACAACCTTCTGCTCCTCAAACCTCAGGCTGGAATTTCAGGACAGAGTGGCCTGACGGGACTTCTGCATGTCAGTTGAATAATTCTGACGGTGATATTTATAATCATCATCATCTCGTGCTTGCTCCTTTGTGAACTCGGGAGGGCCTTCGCACAAAAAGCCAAGTGGGATCTGTCATGTTGTATCTGGCAGACATCGGAGCAGCTCTATGTGCCTGTCGTCAGTAGCTTTGTACTTTTTACACACCCCTATGCTGCGTAAGACGGCCTGTGGCTCAGGGAACGGATCTAGTAACTACAAGGCCGCAGCCCGCAAGCAAGCTTGTGATTCCGACAGGTTCCATAGTGAACGAAGCCCTTCCAGGGAACCCCCCTAAACCCTAAACCCTAAACCGAATTCCTCGCACTGGAGTTTCGACTTCCGCCTGAATGCTTGCCAGGACCAGACTCCACGCTTCAGCCTAGCTCTACCTTAACCTACCAGAACCTACTTTTTTGTAGGGTCCCTATAAATCCCATATTAGGGTTTATAATAAGAACCCACAAAAACATGGGTTATGGTAGGTCAAGGTAGGGTTTAGTTGAGGGTATGGTTAGGGCTTATATCGAAGCGTTCCGCCTGTTGAACCGAGGTTCAGCCAAAGACGAACTCGTCCAAAGTGATTTCGCCACTGTTGTCTGCGTCGATGACCCTGAGCAGTTACATGCTCGAGGATGGCAAACGACAAATATGCAGTGCTGCAAATACTTATTTTTGCAAACCAAAATTCTCAGCGTCGCGTTTGCATTCTAATCTGGGAGTCCTTCTCCACGGAATTAGCGCTCTCTTCCGCCGGAGTTCAAAAGAACGATGATCGCATAAAGTTGGAGCATACTCAAGAATGGGAAAGGTTGCCAAAAGCACAGAGTTTGAGATAGATTCCCGCGGTGATGGCTCGTGGGTGCTTGTGGTAAGGTTTTTGTCTTGGCACATGCCACGGTGATGGTTCGCGGCCATACTAAGGCTCGTTCCCAGCAAAACTATCGTTCTCTTACACCAGAGCGCAAAAGAACGCATTGCATAAAGTTGGCACAGCTTCCTGGAATGGGCGACTGATGCCTTGAAAAAAAACATCTGTCACTTCACAGGCAGCAGGAGGACTAGACCCTAAACCCTCCTATACGCTTTGACTCATCGGGCAAAGTGGTCGCGCAAGTGCCGGAGTCGTGAAAAGGAGTGGCAGTGCTGAGTTATGCGAACTAATCAATACATAAGTATATACAAGTATATACGATAAAAGTGTCTGGTGCCGGGCCGGAATGCTGAGCCCGCACTGCTCTACATTGCTCTATTGTTGCTATTGGGCAAATCTCGAAAGTGTCTCACAGGCCCGGAAATCGACAGGACCGCAACCCCGCCAAATCGTTTCGGAGGCATCTCCGACCAACCACACGCAGAACTACTAAGCCAAGCATTGCTGGCACTGCCAACATCAACAGAAGCTTCCTCACAAGTGCGCGAGCAAAGGACATGCATACATAGCGGATATAGAAGTCAGCAAGTTATATCCACAGCAAGGTTGAGGGCGAGTGGCGTAAAGAGAGTCCAAACATCCTGAGTCGAAATCTCCAAGGACTGCATGAAGCTGGCCATGTTCTCCTTGGTACCCAGCGGCAACGGCTGCAAATAAAGACAAGCTGAACTTTACAAAGCCATTGCCCGCAGTGCACCCGAGGAGCTGTTTTCAGGGCTTCCTGCCAAGAGAGCACATTAGCTGCAGGCGCATGAAGCCTTGCTATGTTGTAATTGGTGGTCAAGGAACATCCAGAAGCATCACTCGTCCAAGAAGGACAACGTTTCCCCTTGCAACGAACTGGAGTCCTTCAGCTCTGGCAGAGTCAGCACACTGGATCCATCGTTGTCGATCTCCTGCAAGAGAATGCTGGAAGGCAGTAGACGGTAATGATTGCAACTAGGTGTCTTTCATATTCAACAAACGCCAAGCAACATTTCAAGAAGGATGAAACCTCACGGACAAACCCGCATCGTTGAAACCAACAAAAATCACCCTGCAATGATGGCAGTGCATTGTAATAAAACCAACTGCATTGAAAACAATGCAAGTAGCAAGAGCTCGTGTTTTGAAATCTGCAAGTACAATTCTCTCAATTAACACTATGGCCATGACTACGACTGATGTTTATACCGTACCTGTCTATATATATATATGTACATATATATACACATGCATATCTATATGTATATGTATATATGCATGTATAGACGGACAGTTTGTCACGAATTTTGCAGAGCGAGCCTTGAAGAGCTCGCGCAAGGAATCGACTTGGGCCTCGTGCTTGCCTCGGAAAAAGTTTTTAAAAGACGACCTTTTTGGGGTTACCTTATAGGATTCTACAGTATATATGAACCCCCAAAAAGGAACTACTTTAGGGCCTATGGGTAAACCTTCCCTAGGCTTGCTAGAAAGGCCGAAAGCGTAGAGGACGTAAAGGTCTTTTCAAACATACCTATGGTGGCAGGACCTTCTGGAACTATCGGGCTCCGCGGCTTTAATGCCAAGGATCTACATACATTCATGCAGTGCACTCCGTCTCTTTTTCCTTTCATGGACGCGTCCATAGTGCATTGGCAACCTCGACACTCGAGGCCCGACACAGCTGTCCACAGCTCAGGCTGGCCAGCTACACTGGTGCAAGGGTGGCACCAGCCGACAAACCCCCGAAACCACAACCTAAGCTGGTCGTCCACACGCTGTGGTCAGCTACTCACGGATCCCGCTGATCGGGAACTCGAGGGTAAACACATCCCATCCACAACGAAGGGCTCCATGATGTATACTCCCGGCATCGACAATGCCACTCCGCAACCAGGGAGCTCTCGTGACGGGTGAACTGGCGATCTCGCCTTCCAGAAATTTCTAGGGAGGGCAGAGCCCTGTATTAGGGTGGGTAGGGCGGGAAGAAAAAGAGACTCCTGGCACACGGGTGATTCTTGGAGTGTGTTCGTATTTTGGCTTGATGTGAAATGGCAGCGGCATACACAGATCAAGCATGGAGCTTCAGCAGCAAGCTACTTCAGCACACACTCACAGGATGCACTCAAGAATGATTCCAGCTCACCAAGCCTACCCGAAGCACTAAGCTGAACAAGGTTTCTAGGGCTTCAGGGTTTGTAGTGGCTTACTTAGCACTGCGGGTTCTGATTCAGGCTTCAGGGTTGAACAAGAAGGATATTGAATTTGGTGCTTTACGGCTCAATATAGGTTAGGGGGTTCAAACTTCTAACTTTTTTTAAAGAGTTCTGTCGGACTTGCACAACCTAGGCCCATGTCTTGCTGGAGATCACCCGAACTGCCTTCCAGCGATCCGATGACGCTGGGCCACGCGGACAAGCAAAGGCAGGGGTGCGGCTTAGATACGCATCTGCTGCAAGATGGCCATGTCCTGATGTAAGCTGTGTCTGGTCAAAACGATCTGACTGACCAGACATAGCCGAATATCCTTTGTGTGATTAGTGGGTGGGACTTCTCATGGACCAACAAAGAACGATTCAACAACTTTTCTGCGCGGAGGCTTTATTGGGGTGTCGATTTGGGGGGTCATAAACCACGCGCAAACAAACATACAAAATCTCGTCAAGACCACGCCGCGCATGTTACAATAGCATTTGACAGCAAATGTGCAGGGAATGGAAAAGAATCTGATTGCAAGCCCACACTGTACCAAGTCAGTCGAGGGCTCAGGAACGATGAGAAAGGCGACTTCAACTTGGCCAACACAACACATGCGTAACACAGTGTACCCGTTGTCACAATCGCTTCGTATACGACCAGATGACAAGATGGGCCATCCCCATGATCCCACTGTCCTTGTCTGCCCGCGCACTCTCGATAGCCATATTGCAGAAGACACCTCACCCAAGGCCAGGTGAATTACAGCTTCCAACTAGTGGAGCCTTGCCGAAGGCCAAGAAGATTGGACATGCGGCATCACCTGTTGAATCCCTGCGCATGATTTTCCATTTGAGCCTGAAATGAACGGAATGTGTTCAGGCCTGTCACCACATTGAGAATCGCAAATACTGCGATAATTATGTACGCGAGATAGGCAGTGGCAGCCAAGGCCGAGATTTCTCCTTGGCTTCTGCATCATGCAACTGCCTGACTAATGTAGGGGCATTAATCATTAGAACAGGGCTTCGGGGCAGATTGTACTATACATACAGCAAGGAACGCCCCAAAAAGGATAGGTAACTATTTGGGCCCCTACATTACTGCAATCCCTGGCAGCGTTCATCATGCGCATGCCCCGTCCTACTCCTGCTGCCAGCACGACTTCTAGCCTACCTTACTTCTTAGAGAGGTTGCTGCGCCACTCCTTTCCGGCTCAGTATACTGCAAAATGGCACATCTCACAAGGCTGTGCAACTCAGGTTGTCTTGCTGCACACAGCATGCATGGCACAATAGCAACACACAGCTGATGCTACACCTAAAACTGCCATCTCCACGCTACTCAAAAGATCAGCCGAGGTACTCAAGGGTGCCAGGGCATCTTGCCAACTGATCCCTGCAAAAACCAGCGAGTTCAGGGGTAAACACCGCAAGCAATGCATAACCTAAACCCTGAAACCGACTCCCTGAACTCTATAAGTGCATAAGCATCTCGAAACCCTAAAGGCTCTAAACCCTATATAGGCCACTAAACCTTATTGAACCCTACAAGCCCTAAACCCCCTCCGCGACCAGAAGCCAGGAAGTGACTCGAAGCCGAAGCTGCATGAAAGGATCTTGGAGTTGTGAGTCATTGATTGTTATACTATTCTTGGAACTATGATTATGATGATTGCTATTAGTATTGTTATAACTACTATTATGATGAGCGTTGTTCAATTCACTCGTTATAGTTCTGTTCTGCGTCTTATCATTAGTGTTATCAAGTTATCATCAATAGAATACTTGTTTCTGTGGTTCTATGATCATCAAGTCATGTTGTCACCTGTTGAAGTCTTCTGCCTATGATTATGCTTCCGTTTGCTATTCTGATGCTTTGTTGCTTTTTGAATCCAGGCGCTGTTAGAGCAAAACGCAAGGTGTTCATTTGTGCAGAATCTAGAGGATCCTAGAGGTGTCTCTGAAATACCTTGCTGGGCGGATCAACGTCGCCAGGCAGAACCGAACTGCCAGTAGCTGAAACTTCGCTTAAGGGTGAACTCCTCAAATGGCTTACCCCTTGAACAGACCGTTGGTACCAGGTACCGAAAAGCTGTGAAATTCAACTCAAAACCTGAATTTCTCGGGGCTCAGATTTTGCGACAGCGCAGTGATGCAACACCAGACTGTGCTGCGCGAAGAGGTCTGCCGAAAAGTACCGTCCGAACGTGTCCAAACTAAAACCTGCAAGCCTTACCTCCCGATTGGACGGACCTTACCGGAGTGTCTACACCGTGCATTCCCTTTCGGGCCTCCGGTGATAGAGAGGAACAACGTTAGCATGGACTCGCCAACTGAGTGCCTAGGGTGGCGAACAGCCGCTTCACAGGTTGAATGCCAGGGAGCTTCGGGTTTGTAAAAGGAAAAGGCCTCAAGTCTCTGCTTCATGCTTAAATGCTGCGAGAGCTGACGCCCAAAAAGGTAACCTTAAAGAATAAACCACACTAAACCACCTTGTCTTCTGGATCTCTCGGCAAGCGCGCGGCAACACTACGCACCCAAAAGTACAGTGTAGGGATTCGAAGGTCTACTGGCTAGAGGTTTGCGTTGGTTATCAATTCATCCAAAACACGACCGAAAGGCAAGCGCCAGTCCAAAACCTTCAGTCACAACCCACAAATAATCAAGGACCTGAAATCCCGCCCCAAAATCGGAGTCCGATCTCCTCGACCACTGAAACGACCTTTCGAAGCTGCTACATAACATCCGAAGGCGGCCCCCAAAGACCAATCAAAGATCCACGACTTCAGCCAGGTGACCAGAAAGTCCGCAGCGTCTCGTCGCATGTCAGGTCTTCTTGACTTCGGCAGTGGTCTGTGACTATCTGTGCGAGCAGCCTTGAGTCATTTCGTGTGTAGGGTATGTGGGACTAGGAGTACAGTGCCACAGGGTGTACATAGGGTATTGTATTAGGGTGTACGGTGATTGGGAAGTCTTCTGAGTTTACAGTGTTTACAGATCAGGCATTTGGGATTTCGGGTTCGGCGGATTCAAGACTTGTGCGGCACCAGCTTTCTTCGTCAAGCGCATGCGGGTGGTCCAATGCTCGAAAAAGCGAATGCCAGAGATTAGGCCTAATCATAGAAACACAATACCAAACCCTGGATCCACCTGCCAGATAAGCCTATGAAACATCCAGCATAGCAAAACCAAGTGAGTCAGGCAATTCGTCCGGAAAGCCGCTGAGAGGGTGGATGAGGGATTTGGGATTTCATGTGCCATGATTGTCGGTATGTCGATGTGGACGCAAGATCCACAAGCAGAACTCTGAAACATCTTGCTTTGCAGCAGGGGCCTTTCCCACTCTTGTTTGACCCGACATAGGAAGATTGGAGCCAAACACCCAAAACACATGCCGTGCCCTGCAATGCCGTACAATTAAAAACTGTACGCAGATGGATCCGTGCAAACACCTACGCATACATACATATATACATTCATTCAAACATACGTACATGCCTAGACACAACATAGATAAGTAGATGTTCATATTTGAAAAAAAGGAATATTAATGAATACAAATAAAAATTAAAAACAAAAACACAAATACACATAAAAGTAAAAATAAAAACATAATAGTAGTTTAATATATGGTAGCCCCTAAGATCCACGCTTTGCCTGCTGTTCATACTCTCTATTGTGTCTTTCCCACGCCTTCCTGTCCACCATATCCTGTTTCTGACCGTCTCTCCACTTCAATACAAACCTCAACCAAACAAACACGCACACACACACACACACCCACACACATGTACACATGAACAAGGTGTTTCAAAATTGCCAGTAAAGTGGCAAGAGTGAAGACCGGATCCAAAATACAAGATCCAAGATTCTCCCAGGAGTCTTGGGGCGGAATCATGGATCTTGGAACCGGGCCAGAATTGAGATTCAATCCTTCAATCCGGATTTCAATCCTGATACCTTGGGGTCATCTCAATACTCATTCCCGGCATTGAAACTGGATTGAAGCATTGAATTTCAATCCGGGCCCAGATTCAAGATCCAAGATCCAAGATTCTCCGAAGAGGCTTGGGGCAGAACTTTGGATCTTGGATCCGGGCGCGGATTGAAATTCAATCCTTCAATCCAGCTTCAATCCTGCATTGTTTGCCGCCTGCGCGTGCGGATGACTGCAGTTTGAGCCAGTGCTGTTGATGTGCAGTGTGAGCCAGCTTCAGAAAGGGTGGACAGCAGCAGTCAAGAAGTAGTACAGTAACAACTTAGTAGTAGTGCAATAATGTGGGGGCCCGTTTACTAACGTGGGATCGAATAATGCGCTTTTTTGCTTATTCGAGCCGAGACCAAAAAAACGACCGGCTCAAATAAAGCGTCTTTTTTTCGGGGGGGGGGGGGGGCCGTTTTGGGTGGGCTTCCTCATGTCTGCAGATGGTCAATCTTAAGGCAGCCACGANNAAACCCCCCACCCAGACCTTAAACCCAAAGCTCCTAAACCCTAAACACTGAACCCTGAACCCCTAAACCCTAAACCCTAAACCCTGAGCCCCTAAACCCAAAACCCTTAAACCCTAAACCCTAAACCTTAAACCTTAAACCCAAAGCCCTGAACCCTGAACCCCAAGATCCTGAGCCAGCCCACCCAGAGGCGCCCTCGGTCCCACACTATTCAAGCCAACATTTTTGGTCCGGGGGGGGGGGGGGGGGGGGG